CCACCCCACACGGGATTATGGGGCCTCACAATTAGGAGGCTGCGAGTTCGATCCTAGGTAGAGGCAGCTACTTCTCTCTCTCTGGGCACAATGAGAATATATCTGCTAAACAAAACTCCGCCCTGGTGACAGGGACGGCATCTGGCCAGTAAACACTCAGCTCCATTCAGTTGCCCAGACTCCACCCCACACGGGATTATGGGGCCTCACAATTAGGAGGCTGCGAGTTCGATCCTAGGTAAAGGCAGATATTTCTCTCTCTGGGCACAATGAGAATATATCTGCTAAACAAAACTCCGCCCTGGTGACAGGGACGGCATCTGGCCAGTAAACACTCAGCTCCATTCAGTTGCCCAGACTCCACCCCACACGGGATTATGGGGCCTCACAATTAGGAGGCTGCGAGTTCGATCCTAGGTAAAGGCAGATATTTCTCTCTCTGGGCACAATGAGAATATATCTGCTGAATAAAACTCTGCCCTGGCGACAGGGACGGCATCCAGCCAGTAAAACACTCAGTTGCCCAGACTCCACCCCACAAGGGATTATGGGGTTGTTAAAAGAAGATCTGCAGGTAGTCTTCGACTTACGACCTTTTTTAATGACTGTTGGAAGTCACAACAGCCCTGAAAAATATGTCACCCCGTATTTATGGCTGTTTGCGGCATCCCACAAAATGCGGCCAGGTGACTGCGGGAGCGATGGCCCTGGGAGCTTCAGAACTGCGTCGTGAGTGCTTTTTGAGGGGGTCCATTGTTAACTTCCAACGGTCGTTAAGCAAATGGCCGTAAGTCGAGGACTGCGTGCCCCTGTGTATTTCCCTGTGAGATTGCCAACGATATGGGCTGTCCGATCACCTACCAGGGTTGCGGTCAAGCTGTGTGGCCAGTCGGGTGTTCGAATGGTCCACTCTCTTGGTGCTGGGAAGAAGGAAGGAAGGACATGAGATCAGGAAGAGGCTATTCTTAAATTCTATTCTATTCTACTCAACAGGAATGCTGCTGCCCCCTAGTGGCTGTCTGAAGAGTTGCACCCTGCATCTGATTGCCCAATTTGATTTCATGAATGAAGAGGCATCATCATCAAATCCTTAACTCCTTTCCCCAAAAGACAAGTTTAAATATCTGGCCCTCTTATATTCTTCCATTAAATTCTATTCTATTCTATTCTATTTATTCTATTCAACAGGAATGCTGCTGCCTCCTTGTGGCTGTCTGAAGAGTTACCCCCTGCATCTGATTGCCCAATTTGATTTCATGAATTAAGAGAGGCATCATCATCAAATCCTCGACTCCTTTCCCCAAAAGACAAGTTTAAATATCTGGCCCTCTTATATTCTTCCATTAAATTCTATTCTTCATTCTATTCTATTCTGTTTATTCTATTCAACAGGAATGCTGCTGCCCCCTTGTGGCTGTCTGAAGAGTTAAACCCTGCATCTGATTGCTCAATTTGATTTCATGAATTAAGAGAGGCATCATCATCAAATCCTTGACTCCTTTCCCCAAAAGACAAGTTTAAATTTCTGGCCCTCTTATATTCTTCCATTAAATCATAGAGCTGTGGTCGCTGGCAATATTTAAATCAGTATTTCTCAACCATAGCCATTGTAAGCTGCCTGGACTTCGACTCCCAGAATTCCTCAACCGGCAGGGCCATTGCTAAGAATTCTGGGAGTTGAAGTCCATCCCTCTTAAAACATGCTGGCTGGGCAATCTTGAGACTTTAAGCAGTCCAGATTGCTTAAAGTTGCTAAGGTTGAGAAACACTTCTAAATAAAAGCAAAGGAAATGAAGCGGGGGGGGGGGGGAAATAAAGATAAATGCAGGTTATTTGATAAAGTTAGTCTACTGAAGCGTTTAGCCAGCATGCCAAAATAGCTCAAGAAACAGGAAGGGCTTCCTATTACAGCCTTTATTAAAATAAGATTAACTATTGTCATAGAAAAATGTGTCTTTCTAAGCATTTACAGAATGATTCTTTTTACCATAGGATAGCAAAATGTGGTTGAGGCAGATATCATTCTCTCTCTGGGCACAATGAGAATATATCTGCTGGACAAAACTCCGCATTGGCAACGAGGAGGGCATCTGGCCAGTAAACACACAGCTGTATTCAGTTGCCCAGACTCCACCCTACAAGGGATTATGGGGCCTCAAAATCAGGAGGCTGTGAGTTCAATGCTAGGTAAAGGCAGATATATCTCTCTCTGGGCACAATGAGAATATATCTGCTGGACAAAACTCCGCATTGGCAACGAGGAGGGCATCTGGCCAGTAAACACACAGCTGTATTCAGTTGCCCAGACTCCACCCTACAAGGGATTATGGGGCCTCAAAATCAGGAAGCTGTGAGTTCAATGCTAGGTAAACGCAGATATTTCTCTTTCTGGGCACAATGAGAATATATCTGCTGGAGAAAACTCCTCATTGGCAACGGGGAGGGCATCTGGCCAGTAAACACACAGCTGTATTCAGTTGCCCAGACTCCACCCTACAAGGGATTATGGGGCCGCAAACTCAGGAGGCTGTGAGTTCGATCCTAGGTAGAGGCAGATATTTCTCTCTCTGGGCACAATGAGAATATATCTGCTGGACAAAACTCCGCACTGGCGAAAGGGACGGCATCCAGCCAGTAAACACACAGCGGCATTCCGTTGCCCGGACTCCACCCCGCAAGAGATGTTGATGATGATGATGATGATAGCAAGCGGTGCTATTAGAACCCCTTCCTCCGATGAATGAAAGCAAATGAATTGGTCTGGAGGCCTTTATAACCTCGACTCACTTGTAATCGCGCTCCCAAAATTTGACGGGGCGAGCATAAGACATGATAAACACGGCACTGCCCAGTAACGGGTTGAGGGGCGTGGAGAACAGCGCGGAGAGAACAGCCTGGAGGAAGAGCATGGCTGAATCTGGACAGGCCAGGGGTTAAGGACACAACCAGAAATAAGTCAGGAGGAGGTTTCACTTCCGAATCTCTCTGTTTATGGGCAGAAGGAAGGAGCTGGTGGTAGATTGGAACCCAAGACAAGCGCTTCGCAACCGTGACAATTTTAAGATGGGTTGGATTTAATTTTTTATGGCTGGCTGGGGAATTCTGGCAGTTGGAAGTCCACCCCCCCCCTTTTCTATTTTTTGTTTTTAATTAGTTTATAATATAAAATGCAAAGGTTATAAAAGAAAACGGTAGGAAAAATAGAGCAGGGGAAAACTGAAGAGAAAGGGGGCAAAGAAAGAAAAGGAATTTGGTGCAGTAGAATAAGAGTAAAAACTTTTTTTACTTTGACAGAGTAATATAAAGTAGTCATTTCTGTAAACAACAAGCCAATCCAATTTTGTAAAAGCCAAAACTCAAAAAAGTTTCAATTTTTTCCCCCAAACTCAAGCACAAAGTCCGGAAGTAGTTTTCAAAGTGGAAACAAAAATAATTCTGTTTTTTTCTTCTTTTTTCTTTAATCAAAGCAGCCAATCTAGTCATCTCTGCTCATTCCGACAACTTTTGGCAGCCAGAAGTCCACCCATCTTAAAGTTGCCAGAGTTGGGAAAACTGGGTTAGATAAAAGAAATCTGAATCCGAAACAGAACTGTAACCTGAGAAATCCATCCATCCATCCATACTTCCCTCCCTATGCCTTTCTTTCTTTCTTTTCTTTCTTTCCTTCTTTTCCTTTTTCTATTCTTCTGTCTCTGTCCTGCCTTCCCTCCCTATGTCTTTCTTTCTCTTTTCTTTCTTTCCTTTCTTTTTCTTTTCTTGTCTGTCCTTTCTTCTTTTTTTCTTTTTTCTCTTTTCCTGTCTCTGTCCTTCCTTCCTTCCTTCCCTATGCCTTTCTTTATTTTTCCTTTATTCCTTTTTATTTTCTTCTGTCTCTATCCTTCTTTCTTTCCTTCCCTGTCTTTTTCTTTCTCTCTTTCTTTTTTTCTGTCTATCCTTCCTTCCCTATGCCTTTCTTTTTCTTTCTTTTATCTTTCTCTTTTCTTCTGTCTCTGTCCTTCCCTCCTTCCTATCCCTTTCCCTTCCTTCCTTCCTTCCTTCCNGATGAAGACGGTGCTGGCGCTGATGGCGAAGGTCAGCACAGCGATGATGAAGCACATGACGAGGTCGGAGTGAAGGATCTCGCGCTGAGTTGGGCAGAAGGATAAAAGAGGTATCATTGTCACAGTTGACGCGCTACGCGGCCGTACCCGCAGACAACAGTAGCCAGTGTGTGCCACCTGGAAACGCGATACAGGCCCAAGCCCCCCATGGTAATTGCCCGGGAATCTCCGAGGCAGACAGGCTGTTTCCAAAATAAAGCCAGTGCAACTGATTGGTGGACATTGGACATGGGGAGAGTCAGGGGGGAAAAGGAAACGTTTCTCCTCTGCTGTTTGCGCGCAAAAATATTAGACGTGGCTTTTCACCTTCTGCACCCATATGGCTTTTGAGTAAAATTTTCTCGGACCAAAAAAAATGTCCCAGGAGTTCCTTTGGCTGTTTAACACAGTGGGACGGATATGTTGAACAGCAGGAAAGGGGAAGCCAGAAGCTCTGGATGCGGAATGGAGCTTGGACACGCCTTTCCATCATGATTTCATTCCGGGATGTTAAACACAAGGCCCGCGGGCCGCATCCGGGCCGCATGGGGCTTAGATCTAACTCACGGGGCCACAACAGCAAGGGACCGGCCCAGGGTATCTCTGCCAGCGAAAATGGGCTCCCAATCTCCGTTTTCGGCTGGGACAGCCCCCTGCAACCCTTTGCCAGAGAAAACGGAGCCCATTTTTCGGTGGCAGAGGGTTGCAGGAGGCTGTCCCAGCTGAAAACAGATTGGGAGCCCATTTTTGCTGGCAGAGCGCTCGAGCCACCACAGGAGTCCCGACACAAGCTGGCATTAAGCTGGCGACGCCAGGGGTGGGCTGCTGGCGGTTTGCACAGGTTCGGGCAATCGTCCAGCTAGGTTTCTGCCCAGTTCGGCGAATCCCCAAATGCCACCCCTAGCTGGCCACGCCCACCCCTCCCCTCCCCGGAATCTCCAGGCAGCCCGTTTATTATGCCAGGTAAGTGTAGGGCCTGCACGGAAGCTCAGGGAGGGGGAGAAAACAGTCCTACGGGAGATTCTGGAAGTGTGGAAACGGGCCAGTTTCCGGAGCCCAGGGGAAGCAGTTTTCACACACCCCCAAGAGGCTTGAGGAAAGCCTCCAGAGGGTGAAAAACGCCTCCCCCCTCCCGGCGTAGGGCAGGATGCTGATTAGGCCACGCCCACCTGGCCACGCCCACCCAGCAACAAGGCAGCGAACATGTTGCTGCACTTTTTTAAAAAAATATTTATTTTTCTTACATAATAAAAATTCTTTTGTGACCAGAGTGTTATCCGAATTCCCCTTTTAACATTAATCAAAAAACCACAATTCATTCAACATGATACTTCCATTATTTCCGATTTTAGCCGCTATTTTCCCATTTCTAATTTGTTAACACACAGAAACCGTATAGTTTTTCTTTCTCTTTTAAAAAATAAAATAAAAATTTCATTTCTTTTCCCTCTGTTTTCCATTAACAATGTGAAGCTTCGAGTTTCAAATTTTCAAGTTTTACATAATCAACGTAACCTAATTATTCATCAGCTTTAAGGGTCTTAATATAATTCCCACACATTCTAATAAAACCATATTTTTACCTTGTTAACAATCTCTCCCTCTCTGTCTACTGGACTCATATCATTCTGCTATTCTCCCATTTCTAAATTTTCTTTTCTCTTTTCCTTCTTTTTATGTGTCTTATATCTTACATCTGTTGCTGCAATTTTGGAAGCCCACCTCCGGGCCACGCCCATCCTGGAAACATTCACTCTGCCACCACTACCACCACCCTCCAGGTCAAACACAACACTGCTGTGGCCCTCAATGAAATCGAGTATGACACCCCTGGTTTAGTTCCTCCTCCCCATTAACAGCCCCCCACCCCCCCAAGAAGGGATGGCCAAGATCCAGGTCTGCTTTTGAGGACAAAGGCATTCCTCACCAGGGAACTGCGCAGTTTCTCCGGGAGGGGATCCTTCACGCCGACTGGGGGATCTTCCAAGTTGCGGTTTTCGAACTCGGGGAAAAGCTTGGTGCGGATCAGAGACCTAAACGTCATCGGGGGGGGGGGGGAAGAGAAAACCTGGTTTGTTGAATTCCGAAGAAGCATCCAAGCGACGGAGTCTTGTCTTCTCCCTAGCGGAACCCCCCCGTCCCCTCCCCCGGAAAGGTTAGGGTGAGGATGGGAGGGAGCTACAGACCAGAGGATGGTAGGGTCGCTGCTCTGACGGCTCAGGTGGTAGGACAGGGACACCAGGATGCCACAAAAGACCGAAAAGAGCACGGGCACATGCTGGTCACCCCATGGCACCTGGAAAGCGGGAAGAGAACGCAAGGGACGTCCGGCATGCTGGTGATGGCAACTTCTCAACTCTACAAAGCGCAGGTTTGTTGGCAAAGCACAGCCCAGGTTGTGTATCCAGGAGCAGCAACAATTTATTTTAGAGTGTCCATGGAGATTCTCGGATATCCAGGTCCTGGTTGTCCCAAAGATGATTTTTTCAGGCAGCAACTGGACTTTCTTGTTTTTGAAGACGTTTCACTTCTCATCCAAGAAGCTTCTTCAGCTCTGACTGGATGGTGGGGAATGGAGGGATTGATNTTCCTTCCTTCCTTCCTCCCTCCCTCCCTCCCTCCCTCCCTCCCTCCCCTTGTCTCTGTCCTTCCTTCCCTTCTCGCCTTCATAAACAAATACATAAAAAAACAAGCAAACAAACAAATGCTGTCTTCAAAATTTCTTGAGGCCCTGAGTTCCACAGGTTATTTGTGACTTTGGTTTTGGCGAGGAAAGGCAAATTCCTTCCTCCTTCCTCCCCTTCTTGGAAAAGGATACGTGGCACGGCGAAGGGCTGGGCAAAGGCATGGAAGGCTGAGCCCCAGGTGATCTGCCAGGGCGCGATGTACGTGAGGACAAAACGGAGCTTGTACAAGAGGTCCCACAGCTGGGGTTAAAAAAAGAAACAAACAATGAAAACCACAGGAGAGGGGAGAAAAAGAGAACGTTGAGGATTTCACCTGTACATCCACAAACCCCAAACACAGCTGTAAAGAGTGGTGGGATTCAACCGGTCCGCACCACTTCAGCCGAACCGGTTGTTAAATTGGTGGCTGGCCCTGCCCCTTCCAGGAGAGACCCCCCCCCCCTGGCGCCCCTGTTTTGGCTCCCAAGAGGCTGCAGGGAGGCCTACTAGGCCCAAAATGGGGCGTGTTAGGGGGGGGCGGTCACACAGCCCTGGCCGCGCCCACAATGGCCACGCCCTCCCACCCAGTCATTAGGGTAGAGAACTGATTGTTAAATTGGTGGCTGGCCCTGCCCCGCTCCTTCCAGGATTCCCCCCGCGCCCCTGTTTTGGCTCCCAGGAGGCTGCAGGGAGGCCTACTAGGCCCAAAATGGGCGTGTTGTGGGGGGGGGCGGTCACACAGCCCTGGCCACGCCCTCCCACCCAGTCATTAGGGCAGAGAACCGGTTGTTAAATTGGTGGCTGGCCCTGCCCCACTACTTCCAGGAGTTCCCCTGCGCCCGTTTTGACTCCCACTAGGCTGAAGGCTGTCACACAGCCCTGGCGACGCCCACCCAGCTGATCATTAGGGCAGAGAACCGGTTGTTAAATTATTTGAATCCCACCACTGGCTGTAAATCTCTGCAGGCTCCTGGTCTCTTCCTTCTAGATACTAAGGGAGGGGGGAGGGGAACTGCCCCAAACCCGCACGCACCTTGCTAAAGAGAATAGACATGATGAAGTAGTCGGTGAGAAAACCCTCCGAATATTGTTTGTAGTCGAACTGGAAGAAGAGCACAGTGAAGCCCAGGGTGACGTACTGCTGCGGGGGGCAGCAGAAGGAACTCCGCAGAAGTTTCATGCCAGCCACGGTGAGGAGGAGAGCTCGGCACCTGGGGGGATGGGATTGGGGGCAGGGAGGGGAAGGAAGGGGAGGATTATTACCTATCGCTCTTTTAAGCGGGGGGAAAAAGTGCAAACTTTTGAAAGATTTGCTTCCTTCCATTTATTGTGGCAGAGGTCGACATCCGAACAGAATAGAATAAGGAACAGCATTAAGAATAGAATAAAGACTAGAAGAGAGTAGAATTAAGGAATAGAATAGAATAGGGAATAGCATAAGGAGTGGAGTAGAGTAGAATAGAAGAATAGAATAGAATTAATATAGAATAGAATAGAATTAATGTAGAATAGAATAAGAATAGAATAGAATTAATATAGAATATAATTAATATAGAATAGAATAAAATAGAATTAATATAGAATAGAATTAGAATAAAATAGAATTAATATAGAATAGAATTAATATAGAATAGAATAGAATTAATGTAGAATAGAATAAGAATAGAATAGAATTAATATAGAATATAATTAATATAGAATAGAATAAAATAGAATTAATATAGAATAGAATTAGAATAAAATAGAATTAATATAGAATAGAATTAATATAGAATAGAATAGAATTAATGTAGAATAGAATAGAATTAGAATAAAATAGAATTAATATAGAATAGAATAGAATAGAATATAGAATAGAATTAGAATAAAATAGAATTAATATAGAATAGAATTAATATAAAATAGAATAGAATTAATATAGAATAGAATAGAATTAGAATAAAATAGAATTAATATAGAATTAATATAGAATAGAATTAATATAGAATAGAATTAGAATAAAATAGAATTAATATAGAATTAATATAGAATAGAATTAATATAGAATAGAATTAGAATAAAATAGAATTAATATAGAATTAATATAGAATAGAATTAATATAGAATAGAATTAGAATAAAATAGAATTAATATAGAATTAATATAGAATAGAATTAATATAGAATAGAATTAG